CCACATCATCTGGCGGTATAGTAGAGTTTGCATACCATCAGTGTTGGGGGGAGGGGCCTGGCTTCGCGCCGTCGTTTAGGGGACCAGTGACTGGTCTGTCTGCTATGACAGCACTTGAGGCGTCAGAGTATCGCTTTCAGTCAGTGCAACATGAGCTGCTAGGGGGCCGCTGTCGCTCGTTTGTTTTTCCTTTTTTTCTTCTATACATACAGAGTAAATCAAGCCCAGGGATGTATGAACGAGCCAGCTGGTTCAGACAGGGGCAACACATGTCGCTGGTCGACGTCCAAACCGGACGCTGCAGGGGCCAATGGCCGGCACCCCCAGCGTCTGTTTCAATTTCACTAGCGGGCCCACTCCCTGGCTGCGCAACAAAAACAGCGTCAGCGCTCGTTGAGAGCGCTTCAAAGTTGAGACCACGGCTCAGCGTTGACCAGTGGGGCCGGCTGCGGTCTCGTAATTTGGTGCATCCGTGCTGGAGTACTCGAAATGTCCTACTCGGGCCACGTGTGCGCATCCAGTACTTCCAGAGTACTTGCCTGGCTGGGCGGGAATGGCTTGGCCACGCCCTGTGGGCTCTTCCGCGACCGACCACACACCACGGCTACAACCCAGGCCACGACCACGTCGTCAACCTCAGCAACTTTAGCTTGCTGCCGACCGCCCTGAATCAGGTCAACAGGTACTCCGTACCTGGGTGCCGGACGCAGTACTTGCTCGGCGGGTACTGGGGGTGCTTGGGGGTGCTTGGCTGGCTGTCTGGTACTCTTGTACCTGTGGCTTGGCGACGCCCCCACCCCTGTCGTCCTGCGACTGGCGCCTGGCCGATGCTCAGATTGCTGTCTCCATTCCGAGGGTTGAGCAGGCTTCGGTGCTGTTGAGCCTCGCCTTTTTGGATACATAAAGGAAAGGGCCCTCCCTCATCGTCCGAAATTGTTAATGCCTCTCCAGTATCACTTGAGTTCCAGAGAAATTCATTTCGACTCTCTTCAAACGAATCCATTGTCGTTGCCTGCGACATTCCACCTCCATCTCGGCTCAAGATCTACAAGTTCCTGTCACTACAACCCACGGCCATCCCGAACCTTCCATCATCACAACACCACCAGTTACTGTCGAGCAGTATACAGCGCAGAAGTCTTGAACGATTCACCACGATAGTCACAATGCCTGCCCAACGACCATCTCATCTTCCTCCATGCCCTGGGCCTCCCCCCAGCCGGCCTCTTCCTCCTCTGCCCAACCGCGGCTAAAGTTTCCGCCCTTCTGGATATTTGACAGACTTTCACACTGTTATGTTCACTCTCGGTACTGCTCGCACTTTGACAGAAGAGCCACTCAGCCTTGGAGGCTTAGATCTGTTAATGGACTGGAATAACAGAGCCGTTGCATGTTTGGACGCAAGGCTTTCTTTGGACGGCATCTCATGACGTGAGTATGCATGTCAGCCGTCTCATTTACCTGACCTGCCTGGACGTGGGGTCAGATATGCATCTACCCTTGGATTCCTTGAACTGGCTTCTGCAAGCTATGGTCACCTGCCTCAACAGCCCCACGACGTACACCTCCACTGCCTCGTTGCAATATCAATAAATCAATTGGCTCGTCTTTACCGGCATGTCTGCAGGCAGCTGCCAGACCAGGGATAGGGGAGATTATGACGAAGTGTAGGAAGCGGAGTCAGCAGCAAATCTCGAAGGGCATAGTCAAACACGCTCGCTGTACAATACCCTCGATGCACCAACTCCACTTCCACGGCCACGTCAAGAAAAAAAAAGGTTTACTGTCTTGGGCTGGCTCAAGCGGAAACATCTCGTCGTATCATTCCACGATTTCGCAAGCCGGTCTCGGCTCACAATCATCCCATGTACTTTTATATTACTATTTAATCGGTTATTTTCCTTGGCCTTGGCAAAGATTGCATTCTGCTACACCTGCATACAGCTCATTTCGGGGAGACTTTGTAGGAGGTTACCCGTCGGCATTTTGTCTTTTCTACTATAGAGGGCATTGCTTGGATACAGGGGGACTCGGGTTTCTTTTCTTGCATGTTTTGTTTCTTTGGTTGGCAGGCGCAAGTCATCGCTGATACCCTCACAAATGCGACGTGGTTTTTTTGGATTGTACGCCTTGAGATGTGAGGAAGAGTAATGACTGGAACGTTGGGATAACGGGGAGATATAGACTACCACCAAGACTTCATAATAGAAGCTGCTTTACACAAACTGTCCACTGATCGCTCGGTGTTGACGTTTGGCATGCCATTTTTAGCGCACCAGTTGACCCTCTGACAAGACAGCCTTCAAATGCTGGCTATTGTATCGTTGTACCTCCCCGCATCAACAAACTCTCCTGCTGCCGGCTAGAAGGTCTTGTCATACCACTGCCAAACCGTCAATTGGACGCAAACGGGGAGTCTTGTGCCAAGAGGCTCGGTGGTCTGTTCTGGCCACGCCAAAAGTCTCCAGCGTCGCGGCTTGGTTGTTTGGCTGCTCCGAAACGCCGCCGTTCGTGACTGGTCAAGAAGGAGCCACCATACACCAGTGAGGCAGGTGGGGAAGCACGATCGAATACTAGTACCAGACAGTGCTACTACAAAGAATCTCTGCAGGAAGAGACGGCGACACATGGACGGAGTGGTTTAGCCGTACTGGCCAACACGACAAGTACTTGACATGAATAATACGGAGTAACTGCTGCTACTAGCACTAGCAAGCAGTAGCACTACCACCACCACCAAGGCTCGCGTTGCGCAAGGGGCGTGCGGACTGGTTGAGACAAGGGCGGCGTTGCCGACAACCATGGGCGCTTAGCTAGGGCGCTGCTGGCGTCCGAATTGGAACATTCGAACACTTACAATCGATGACACGGCGACGACGACGCGCAGCGGCTTTCGAGGGAGCACGCCGGGCCCTGTCAGTCGCGGAAACCTTGGCATTGGCACTGACGGGCACTGCAGTAGCTGCTTCATCTGCGTAATTTTTTTTTAAGGTTTCGCGACGTGTTTGACGTTTTGGAGACCCAACGTGCGCTGCTGGCGTGAAAGGCGGCACTAGCAAGACGGACTTGCTCCCCGGCAAGCAAATTCGACAGATAGAGTTTTGGGCCGGCGTCACGATCCGGAGTTTCTCCACGTTCCAAGAGCGGCGGGCTCGCCGGCCCCCTTTTGTCGCTTGCTTGCTTGCTTGCTTGTGGGAGAGTTTTGTGATCGTGGTGTTAAACCGTTAGGAGTAAGTTTGTTTCCGGGCAGAAAGCAGCAGGAAGGATGTGTTCTGTCTTACGAGTGGCTTTTTTTGTGTGTGTTTGTGTGAGCGGTACGTATTTTATTTGACTTCCTTTCTTTTAATTTAGCCGGAATGTGGGGGCAGTGCTCACATCTGAAGAGATAAGAGAACAATTACCCAAGGGATGAAAGGTGCCAGGATGTATGTACTTTGCAATCTTGTATCTTGATCCAATTTTTTTTCCTCTTTTTTTTTCCTGTGAGAACATTGAATGTCAAGCAGGATTTCGACTCTTGAAAGACGGGGATGTGGGTTCTTTTGCCAAAGTGGGCGGCTAAAATGGGCCGGGAACCTTGGACTCATCAAGTCCCTCGATTTCGAAATTACCGATGCTACTAATGCAGGGACACAGCCCTTGGCTCCAGCAAAGCTATAATCGCTGTGTTAAGTCATGTTATATCGCAATTTGCCACATTCTGATTCACGCACGCCCAGCTTAATTTTGCAACGTGAAGCATTGTCCCTAATAAAAAACACATGCAGGTACAGACGGGGGTCTAGACTTTGAGCCTCGTGGGCTGCAAACATTTTGTTTTTGACAAATTGCACGACTCGGCACTATCCAAAGGTCTGTGCGACTCCCAGTGGTCTGATGTCTATACTTGGTAAGGCTTATGTCACAGGTTTCATGGCCGTTTCTGGAATTCGTGTGCTGCTGCGGTGTAACGCTCGCTTGGCATGTTGGGGGGAAAAATGTGTTTGCTCTGAGGTGCATGCAACATGTTGTGATTTGTCTTGGAGAATTAATAATAGCTCGGCAACTCGGGTTGTGAAAGTGTCTGTGGGCCAGACTATCTGTTCCTGATCGTCAGGGGTTGTGAATCATGGTGAGGGGAGGAAGAGGAAAAAAAAAACTTGACACTGTGGGCTTTGACGTCCTATTCTTCACGTTGTATCTTTTGACGAGCTGCAGGTGGTGCGTCGGATATGAGACGACCATCCAAGTGGGCACTTTGATATTGCTTGTGCCTGCCCCAGGTTCCAGGTACCTACCTAGGTAGGCACTTACTTACTTTAGGTAAGGGTACTTTAGGTAGGTAGGTAGGTACATACGACAGCCGTCGTGGGCTCGTGGCTGGCATGCAACCGTCTATTTTCTGCTCTCGGAATATGGTGCCCATGCTGGTATTGAAACATGCTGCAGTTTGCTGCAAGACGTACAACACGTAAGATCTGACGCGGATCAAGGCAGTTTCATCGGGAAATGGGCAAGGCTACCGAAACTGTCGCGGAGTGATGCTCTCCGCAAGTGCCTCATATTTTGTCCCGAGCCAATGTCTCGCACTCCGTGTCGGCTGGCCTTCCTCAAACGGTTCCGAAGCGATCCATGTGCAAAAGTTGAGTTGAACCTGTTGATCATTCCATTCGTCACATGACCACGTGGGAAGATAGGCGCCGTGGCTTGCTGCGGCGCTGAGTTCTAAATCGGGCTCATCGTCCCCACGGCTGCAGGCCAGCCTTGTCAAGCTTGCATCTCCAATGCCGTGTCCACTTCCACGTATTGCAATCTATTGCATTCCGTACTCCGTACCTTGCTCCAGACATCTGCGCGGCCAACACCACCATAGCCTGTCACCACCCCCCCAGATTTTCCTAGCCGAGCCGCGTCAACGGAGGTGATTGATCTTCTTGCGGCGCGCTAACGGACTCCCAAGGGTGTGACGACGGCAAAGCCAGCATTTTGAAACAACGCATTGAGCTTGGCCAAACCACACCATGTTGGAGCTTCATGTCTGGGGACCAGCCTTTGGCCTAGCCTCTATTGACGCAGAGTGCCTCGCGATCATCACGTATCTTCGCAATGCGCTTCCTGCCAGCGGCTGGCGCCTCATCCCGAGCAACCGTCCTTCCGCATCCCCATCAAGTATGCCCAACCATTGAGCATCATTCACGGTGCTGTCCACTTTGACCTCAAACCATCTGACCGCCTCCGAGCAGATCTTCTCCCCGCTCTCGACCATGCCGGCACATGGGTTAGCGGTTATCACGCAATAGTAAACTACCTCACTTCCAAGTCACTCTGTACAAACCTCGATGCGAATTTGGACCCTGTCCAGCAAGCAGACACCATTGCATACGGTGCTTACTTGCTGGCCAACGCCGCGCCCCTCGTCGATCTGTCTCTCTACGTCTCGGCCGCGAACTGGTCCGCAACAACAAGACCGGCCTATAGCGCCTTGTTACCATTTCCCTTGACATGGACCCTGCCGCCGCTGATACGAGCCGAGGCTGCTCAGCGCGCGGAGCATCTTGGTCTCGCCGAGCTGGATACAGACTTTGATCCTAATGGCGGACTGCATTTGACTGCTGGCCGGGACGCCTTGCCCGAAACATTTCGTAGGCATTTGCCCGCGCGGACGAAGAAGACTGTGCGAGAGGAGATGACGCCTGAACAGGCTGCTGCTATACGGTTGTATGGGTTGGCGGAGGACTGTCTATCCGTTGTGAATTCGTTGCTGGGAGAGAGCAGTTTAGAGGACAAGTCGCCTCGTTTCTTCGGCGGAAGCCGTCCATCCTCTTTGGATTGCCTGGCATATGGGTTCCTGGCACTTATGGTAGTGCCGGATGTCCCCAGAAGCTTCCTCAAGGACTGGATTGGCGCGGAGACCCCACGGCTCGTCACGTTCGTAGAGTCAATGGCTCCCGCTGATTTAACATGGTCTCCTACGGCAGCCCCTTCGATTTTGGGCTCAACTACACGCGTAGCTGACTCCATCTTACGAAATATTCCCAGCGTTGGAGAACATTATGCCAATGAAATGCGGTATAGAACGGAAGTTGGCGTGAAGGGCCTGGATCAGAGGGCTTTGATGATGATGATGAGCGTCATGCTTACAGGTGCTGCCGTCGGATACGGTTTACACATGTACAAGAGCCTACAGCCATTTGGGGCCAGAACACAAGTTTGGAGACAGCTCCGTGGTACATCTAGGTTGAGCCAGTTTGGGGACCTTGGCAATATGCTCAGCAGTGCCATAGGAGCATATCAACCGGATCCAATCCCCACTGGAAATACTTCAAGTGGTCGCCTTGTGGAGGTTGACTCGGAGGTGGATTAATACATCAAAAAGGCACATAGAGTCAGATACCCGTTCCGCTGTGGGACACCAAGTGTACAATATGTAATGAATAGTTAATTTTCAATTTTTGAAGGACGTGGTCTGACCCCTTTCCATGACGCCATTCTATGCATACTCATACAAAACACTTTTTGGCCCACTCCCTGTTTCTAATATTTTCTTTCACTGTTTATCATCGTTCTGAGGGCTCAATACTCTAGATTTGCTTTACCTCCTTGCCAATCATGTCGGGCCGCTCAACCTCCCACTCGTCTCTTAATACGGCAAATGTCAAATCCGTGACCAACAAGCTCTGGCCCAAACTCCAAACCAGCGTAATAGCGTAGAAGAAGTTTGCGTTTCCGCTGCCGGCGTATATCCACAGGTGGTAAAACGCGGGGCCCAGGAACGTGGCGTACAGGAGCGTGGCAGACGCAACGTAGGTGTACCTCATGAGCGGGAAGACGTGCCGGAACAGCGGGAGCATGGCGAGAAACAGGCTCGCGTCGGCGATGGAAGGGTACGGCTTGAAGATGGAGAAGATGCCCAGGAGAAGGGTCAGCACGGCGAGGGGCTGCGTTCGCAGGCGGATCGTCAGGCCGCCCACGTACGCCGCGAGGTGGAGCCAGAAGACGGCGAGGAAGAAGGCCCGGAAGGAGTCGAACATCTCGATGAAGAAGTACCACCACAGGCCGACGTTGGGGGTGAGGTCGGACAGCGTGAGCTGGATGCCATACGTGCGGGAGAGGAACTCCCACGAGTTGCCGGTGAGCACAAAGGACATGCCCAGGAGGAGGCCGAGGCAGACGGCGGTGATGGCGACGCATTTGGCGCCGAATGCGACGGCGCTGGCGGTGCGGCGGGCTTCGGGCTGGCGGTCAAAGGAGAGGAGCACGAGCGGCGGCAGGAGGAGGATTGGGTACATGGACAGGTAGGAGGCGAAGGAGAGGGCGATCATGGCGTTGAACGCGGAGCCTTGGATGGCTTTGGATATGGCGTGGAGGATGGCGCATGTCGTGAAGATGCTGGTGGATCGGCCGATGCAGCTGGCTATTGTGAAGGGGTTAAAGAGGAATCTGGGACATGTCATTGTCAGTTTTAGTATTTTTGCAAAGCTCTTCGACGTACAGGCTGGATTTAACTACTTACGCGGCGGCCACTGCTAATCCACACGCTCGTTTCGCTCTCCGCGGAGACGTAAACAGCCTCGACTGCCCGGCTTCGCCTGAATTCGCAATTGTACAAAGCGCATCGGCGCTCAGCAAGTCGACCAGTATATAGAGAACCGACGTGAAGATGGGCCAGGTTTTGACGCTTGGGAGCAGCGAAAACAGCGGTAGTAGCAGCGGTGCCTGGTGGTAGACACCGCCATCGTAGGGCCACACATTGTGGTTGTAGAGGAACAGTCCTTCTTGTACTGCAAAAAGGAGGAGAGAGAGACGTCAGCTTCCTGCGTCTGGGAGCTAGTTGAAGGGGCTGTCGCGAGGTCATGTCGAGACGGAGCCGAAATACGGGCGCACTTACATCGCTTGAAGCTCGTGACGGGGGTGGAAATCTCTACACGGCCGGTCAAGAGGTCTGGCAGCCCGGGGAAGGCCACGGTAAGAAGGAGTCGGAGGACGGCAGCGCCAGCGTAGACGCCAGCTTTGCCTCGCAATGTCATGGTTGAGGCCATGGCACTTGGTCAGGCCATTGCTTGGGTGCGAGGAGGGGAGACGCGCTGGCCGGAGAGTGTGATGCCGTCGCGGTATGGAGGCCACTTGGCACCTCGGATTCACGGGCCGATGGTTGGAGGTGTGAAGTGGAGTATGTACTCCGTATGTGTACATACGCACTTGGTTTGACTTGGACCACCACCGCTGACGTGCATGTTTTCGATTTCATAATAGGCGGCGGGTGCCATCAATTGAAAGATTAAAAGTGAATTATTGAGCAGATGTACGGAGCACGTTTTACTCGATGCATTCATTCGGGGCGAACTGTCTGGCTATGGATGGCAGTTTCGCCAGAGGGTGTCCCCACGATCCCGGGGAGGAAACATTTGGGCTCTGGAACAAAAGTTTGTATTCTCCCGAAATACTTGCAGACATGATGGCGGCAATGTAACTGGGACATGGAACAATTTGCTTCTTACTTATGTACCCTAAGTACTTGAGTACACCTAGCGTCCGGTACTTTGAGGTACTCCGTAAGCACAGGTAGGCCTGGTTCGTGCAACAATCCGGGCGGTGAGATGTTGGGTTGCCAGCAACAGGGGCTCGCATCACGCTAAACGCAAAACGGTTGGAGACTTGGGCGGTGCCGTCTGGCAATAAAATTTCCGGTCAACATTGGAACTCCAAAAAAAAAAAAGTTCAGAAATAGCAGAAGGCCGCCCCGCTGCCCTTTCCAGACCAGAAAAACCCTCCAGACGATTCGAGGTCAATTCAAACGGCAATGGGTCGGATAAAGAAGAAGGGCCAGGCCGGCGCGGCCAAAAACTACGTCACGCGAAACCAGGCCATTCGAAAACTTCAAATTAGCTTGCCTGACTTCCGTCAGCTCTGTATTTGGAAGGGCATCTACCCTCGCGAACCTCGGAGCAAGAAGAAGGTCTCCAAGTCCTCGACTGCCTCGACCACCTTTTACTACGCCAAGGATATTCAGTATCTCCTCCACGAACCACTCCTGCAAAAGTTCCGGGACCAAAAGGTTTTGGAAAAGAAAATTTCCAAGGCATTGGGTCGTGGTGATGTCGGCGATGCCAAGCGACTCGAAGGAAACGCTTCCCGACCAGACAAGACCGGCAAGCCTCGATACACTCTTGATCATGTCGTTCGCGAGCGCTACCCTACCTTTGTTGATGCACTGAGAGATTTGGATGATTGTCTGTCCATGCTGTTTCTCTTTGCCAACCTACCGTCCACCTCTAGCGTTCCAGCCAAGATGATTGCTCGCTGCGAGAGACTCTGCCTCGAGTTCCAGCACTACCTGATTGTCTCCCGAAGCTTGACCAAGTCCTTCCTTTCTATCAAGGGTATCTACTACCAGGCCAACATACAAGGCGAGGATATCCTCTGGTTGGTGCCTTACAAGTTTAACCAGAGAATTGTTGGCGACGTCGACTTCAGAATCATGGGCACTTTTGTCGAGTTTTACATGACCCTCTTGAGTTTCGTCAATTTCCGGCTATACACCTCCATCGGTATCAAGTACCCGCCCAAGTTTGACGCCGTCAAGGATGAGAACGCCGCCGAGCTTGGCGCTTTCACTCTCGAAGGCAAAGCCCTGGTCGGCGCTGAGGAACCAAAGAAGTTGGAAGATGCTTCACATAAGCCTGACCCTAAGACTCAGGCTGCCGTCAACAAGGTTCTGAAGACTCTTCAGAATGGCCACGCAACAGATGGCACGGAAGAGACCGAGAATGGGGCCACTGAGACTGAAGAAGCAAACGCGAGCGCCATTGACAAGTTTGAACCTGCGGCTCCTGGTGGCGATGTGCTGATGCAGCCGTCTGCTAATGGAAGCGATCACAAGACCTTGTTCTCCAATTTCACTTTCTACCTCTCTCGTGAAACTCCTCGACAATCTCTTGAATTTATCTTGAAAGCATTTGGCTGCAAGCGTGTTGGATGGGACCCTGTCCTGGGTGGCGGAGCCTTCACAACAGATGAGTTGGATCCCAATATCACGCATCAGATTGTCGACAGACCCCCTATCCAAGCGGCAATGGAAGAAGATGGCGACGCTGAAGATAATCAAACATCACAAAAGTTGGCTGCCAATCGTCGGGTCCCAGGCCGGACTTACGTTCAGCCCCAGTGGGTGTGGGATTGCATCAACGATGTGGAACTCAAGGAGCCTCACCTGTACGGTCCCGGAGCATCTTTGCCGCCTCATCTAAGTCCCTTCGTCCAGAGCGTCCAAGGTTCATACGATCCTACAGTGCCTTTAGAGGAGCAGGAGCCTGAAGAAGAGGCTCTGGAGGCTGATGAGGACGGCGACGAAACCGTTGAGGGCATGGACGTTGCCGAAGACGAGGATGAGGATGAGGACGAAGAAGGCGAAGATGAGGACGGGGACGGGGACGAGGGCGAGGGCGATGGCGATGCTGAGAAAATGGAAGAAGATGTTCAGGAAGAGGACGAAGATGAGGACGAGGCTGCTCTCCGACAGCAAGAACTCGAGGCGGAGCTGACAGGCGCCTCTGTCGAGGCCAAGACTACTAATGGTAAGGCCAAGGCTAAGGAACAAGCGCGAAAAGCTTTACGCAAGAGGGCCAAGGAAGAAGCTGAGGATCTTGAGCGTGCAAAGGGTATGCTGAGCAAGAAGAAGAGGAAGCTCTACGAGCAGATGATCTACACAAATAACAAGAAGAGCGCAGAAGACCAAAAGCTAAGAGCAAAGAGAAGAAAGCTGGAAAAGGAAAAGGGCAAGGGCAAGGCGTAATAAGGATTGTTCTGATATTGTGAATAAAATGCGTTTTAGATGAAAGTTATATGGGCCTTTGTGATCGATGACTGCACGCAAGTCTGTGCATTTCAAAGGGAGTCTTTCCAAAGTTCCTTCCAAATTGCTATCAAGCGTGTGGCGCCAGCTCTTCGTGCCGTGTGGAGCCCCTCCAACCTACCACCTCCAACCAACCTTGGCTACAATTTTGCCAACTACATCTGACATCCACGCGCTAGCAGCGCCAGCTTACCACTTTTTCATGACGGCAAAGAGCACCGTCTCCAAATAAAAACGACCTTCCCTTCAACATTGTAATGCATGAAGAGGCGCCCATGTCCATCTGATGGCATGCTTTGAGTATGGAGGAGAACCAACCCACCAACTGGGACCTGGACACAGATGAGATCGCATCCGTCACCTCAGAAGACTTGTATGAGAATCGACCAAACCGCTGGACGGGGCCTAAATCGACATGGAGGGAATTTACTAGGGAGGAGCGGCTGCTCTGGCGGTCCATGCAACAGCTTGTTGACAAAGATTTGGCGGTGCATTTGTACGATGCGTTTGCTTTGAAGAGACAAGGGAGGGACCAGGCCACAGCACAGAGCCTCACTGTCAAGACGGTATGTCGCATACACAATGTCGTTTTCAGGTGTGCAATTTTCTTGGGGAGCTACGACAAACGGCGTTTATGAAGCCAGGCTGATGGTTAGTAGAAAGATGTACAAGACATTGTCTGGGCGCCGCCAAAAGTATGGACGGCATGGCCACTGAAGGAGAAGCATATCTCCGCAGAAGGGCTCTTCCAAAAACAAAACGACGACGAAGAAAAGTTCACGTTGCGCAAGGTGGAGAATGGGATGCCCAGCACCGAGCTGCAGGATGAGCTTGCTGCGACCGTGTTGCGTCTGGCGAAGGAACGATATCGACGACGATCATGGCATCGCCCACTGCATCCATCCATTGAGAGCCCTTCCAGCCCGTTGCCATCTAAGTCAATAGACCAGTCTGAGGATGAATTATCACTTCCATCTTCTCCTCCTCTATCAAATATGCCGGCAGGTAGTGAAGAGATGTCTCTTGACCATGGCGAGGATGAATCCAGTAATGATGATGAAGATGAAGACCTGGAAAATGTCCACGTTGGGAATGAAGAAACATACGAACCAGCTATATCTTCAAATGACGACCTGTCGAACCTTCTTCTCCGCCCTTGTGTCCGCCACATCCTCACACAGCTAGACTGCACCCTCACCATCCTCCACAACGCCCGCGTCGCCGGCTTAAACCACCTCTCCGAATCAGAGTCCTCTACGGAAGGGGAGTCTGAGGCGGGTACGCCACGGAAGAGAGGTAAAAGGGGCCGTCCAAGGCGTACACCCCAACCTGGGGAAGAGCTCTCATCTTCTGAGCAGCGGAATGTACAGGGCCCCAGACGTCGCGGCCGGCCGCGCAAGATTCACACACCGCGAGAAGGCGAGACGGAAGAGGAGATGTGGAATCGTGTAGCTAGGGAAGGGCACAGACGACTCCCCATCACTGCTGCAGATCGAGATGCTGCGTTCGAAGCGTGGGTAGAGGAAGGTTATCGCCGCGAGCGAGAGCAATCTCGTACAAGTGCACAGTCTGAAGAGCATGTCGCTCAAGCCATCACTGGTGAAACGAAATTCGAGAGAAAGCTAGGCAAATGGGGTCTGAGAGACTGGAGCGACATCGTTGGAGCTGCTGCTCTGGCTGGATTCTCTGATGCCGTCATATCACGCACTACCAAGCGATGTGCCGACCTTTTTGGTGAAGGTATGGTTATTAGACGTCTAGACGAGGTTCCTTCTACGCGAGCCCCAGCATTCACCAGTAGAGAGTACCGCCCTTCAAATATTCAACTTCCGTCGTCTCCCGCTGAATCCGAGTCCGAGCCTTCAGCAACACTCCTACAACGCCGTACTACGTCCCGGCGGGCATCTGCCGCTCGATCTTCCACAGCCTCCTCGCCTGCAACTCCTAGTGGTCGGTCTCTTTCACGATCCGGTTCCCGCTCATGTTCTCGCTCCTCCGCAGGATTTCAATTCTGCCCGGTTCCAACGTGTGATCGTGCAAGCAGGGGATTTTCAAGACGAGCCAATCTGCGGCGTCACATGACCCTTGTTCATCCGGGCCACACATCAGAAGAAAACGACTCGGACGACGAGGTTGTAGGTGGTGTGCATGTTGATGGATTTTTGAAGACATTTTATCCCCAAAGAGGGTGGAGAGGCGAGGATGTGCTTGCGAGAAAGAGGAAGAGGTATTACAGGGGGAGGAGTCTGAGTGTGAATGAAGGGGACGACGAGGGGGCCAGCGATGAGCCGTGAGTTGAGGTTCATCTAATTGTGGAGAGGCAAGGCGATGAGAAATTAAATTATTTGAGACCTAGCCACTCGGCACTTTTATTTTAATCGATTTGATTGCAATGTCTACTCAAAGGATATGATGGACAGGCTTAACGACGATCCCAAAGAACCACCTTGTATTGCGATTTCGAGACTTGACAGGCAAAACGGACTGAATTCTCTTATCTCTTCATAGTGTACCAGCTATAGTTTAGCAGGCGGCTTGACATCAACGGGCGTCCACCACGGATAATGCGGCAAACCATCCTCCATGGTGCCCTTAAAGTCAGGCTGCCTCTTCTGCATGAAGCTTTCAACACCCTCTTTGGCATCCTTGCCCCTAAACAACCCGTGAAACAACCTGCTCTCCAGCAGATGCGCTTCCTCTGGGGAGCTTGTCGTTCTGTAAATCATATCCTTCATCACCCTCGACGAGACATTGCTCACATTCACGCTGATATCCTCGGCGATCTTCAACGCCGTGGGAAAAACCTCCTCGGGGGGGACAACCTCACTGAACAGTCCGTCGAAGAGCTTATGGTTGGCTGGGTAGACGGCACCTGTAGTTGTCAAATGCAGCGCCTTGGACGTCCCAATCAGTCTCGGCAGGAAGAAGCTGCTGCAGGCTTCGAGACAGAAGCCCCTTCTGCCAAAGACGAAACCGATCCTGGCTTCGGAACTAGCAATGCGGATGTTGGCGGGGAGGGTCATGGTGATGCCGACGCCGACGGCGTGGCCGTTGATGGCCGCGATGACGGGCTTGTTGCATCTGTACATGGCGACGGAGATGCGGCCGCCTCCGTCACGGTGAAGCTCAGCGGTGGTCGAGACGCCCTGAGGCGAGGAGAAGTCCATTCCGGCGCAAAACATCTTGTTTTGAGTGTCGGAGGAGGTGAGGATGATGGCTTTGACACGGGGGTCGAGGGAGAGGGTGTTGAAGACGGTGACGAGATTGTCGGCCATGATGTCTGTGAAGCCATTGCGGTGCGACGGACGGTGGAGTTTGACGATGATGATTGGGGTTGGAGAGGGCGAGGATGGCGGGTGATGGGAGATGAGGAGGGTTGGGAAGCTGAGCTTTTCGTAGGATTCTGGTAGTGATGCCATTTTTGGGGTGTGATTTGGAGACGGGAGTTTTGGAGTTGACAGTGTGGGATTTGTGTGAAAGAGTATGAAGTTTGGAAGCAATCTATCAGGATCGTCGGCGGCGGGGAATATGGTGTTAGTGTGTATTTAATATACGTGTGGTAAGGGCAGTCAAAGCCTTGGTCGAGATAAGTTAATGTTTGGCGGTGGTTTATATCCGGGTTTCAACAGCCGGGTACCGAGGTTCATTTTGTGGAGGCCGTTATCACGCAGCATGTAGGGAGTAAACACACATGTCGGAAATACGTGCCGTGGCCATGCCCTTTTTTTGTGTGACACCATAATCATACTTATAGTTAACACGAAGAGGATTGTTTGTTCAAAGCCGTTTTCGACATGTTGAATATGCCACAAGACAAATACTGGACGATGGAGGTGCAACATTGAATCTCCGAATGGACATCCGGGGTAACTGAGGGTGCCATGTTTGCGGAGGAAGTTGCGGAGCAGAACCTCGTGCCAGATGTGGGCCCTCCGCTGGACTCCTTCCCTGGCAGCCTGGTCAGCTGGCTGTGCCTGGCAGAAGCTCTGCCCTCTTTGCCCTTGACAGGTGGCGATGACTAAGCAAGCCTTCATCCTTCAACACGATTGGAACGACGAACCCACCAACACATTCACATCCCTGCCCATCACCACGCAACAGCTCCAGCTCAGCTCCACTGCAGCGTGTTACCCGCTCACTTGCTCGCCCAGCTAGCTGCCCGTGTTCGTCCCTGCGATGCCCAGGCGTGAAGTCATGTCACGGCTGCTCTTGTCCATAATATGGTATATGACTGGGACGCGCATCAGCAGACATGTTATCGGCTGTATATCGACGAGGGCAGGTCCCTTGAGGACATTATGGACCATATGAAGACTGTTCACAAGTTCACACCGAGGTGAGTCACTCACACATGGCACCATGACACCACAGCACCACGGTCCTATCGTACCGCTGGCGCCCGCTGGGATTCTATTCTACTGGCTGCCAAGTGCGTCTGCACACACATACAATACTATTACCAATTTGCCCGCACTATCCGGCCATGGTGTGAATGGGGTAGACGCATCCTGATCCAGCTTGGCCGGCTCCACGCTCACAACATGCTTGGTGGGCTTAGTGTATTGTTGCTGTTGAACTGCTCCCCATCCCGCTTACTCTGTCCTGTTGTACGGTGAACTGCAACTTACACAGTTTTCTAGCAAGCGAGCATTCCAGACGCAATTCCGCCGTTGGAACTTTCCGCCAAAGCAACGGCCCGCGTATAAGAATGACCGTTTGGTAAGCCGCATCAAGGAGCTCTGGGAAAGAAACTTGGCCCAGAGGGAAATGCTGCGGATTTTGAACGAGGAAGATGGCTTTGACATCAAGCCTAGGGAACTTGTCAGAGTACGAACTCGGAACCGGTGGCTATTGAGAGTACCCAACGGCGACAAAGGCAAAGCCCCTTTTGGGGATGACGGCGACCAGACAGAGGGAGAAGAGTTGCGCAGCTCGTCTGTACCCATGACGGATCGAAGCTCGCCCGCACCTCCTAGGAATGTTTTGTCTGTCACTGGTTCTGATACCCAGCAGGATTCGGACCGTGACAGGCATGCGTCTGCGAGGAGCTCAAGAAGGAAACGGCGGAGAGCAAGGCAATCTGCCACTGGGAGTGAACCTGGCTCACTAAATCGCTTTCCTTCGGAGATGACGCTTGACGAGGCTCGAGACATTCTGGACCTAGATGTGTCCATATACCGTGCTCTGAGAACACAATTTCAACAAATATGCCAAGAGGAGAAGATTTCCAAGAAAACGACGGCTGGTGCTGAGAAATGGGAAGCAGCCAAAGGCCAACTAGTTCGTCAAATGCCCCAGGTCTATAGCTTACTTTGGTCGAATAAAGAGAACCCTGAGGACCGACAGCTTGCTCTAGATGTCATATGTACGGATGTTACCAAGCGAATGCGAACTATGGAAACGAGGATGACTCTCGCAGAGGCGAAAAACGTTCTCGGTATTAATCCAGAAGAGTCGCGCGATATGCGGACGGCTTTTTACCAAGTGCTTGCTGATTCTGGCTTTACATGCAAATCAGATGCCACACCGCAACAGTGGGAAGACTTGAAGAGGAGGTGGGGAGATAAGTCAGCATTGGTAGAGCGGATAATGATAAGTATAAGGACAAACGGTGACGAAAAGCAGGAGCAGGCTCGTGCTTTAGAAGTCCTAGCTAAAGATATCATGAAGAGGTTACGAGATGAAAGGGGCCGCAAAGACATGAGGAAGCATCACCGCCAGCACTTGCCAATCAGTTCAACCGGGTCGTCGCAGGCTGAACAAGCGTCAAAAACCTCCAAGACTGGACATTCGCGTAGTTCTCCGTCAAACGACCCGGTGGATCTGGCGGAGGGCATGGCAAATGCTAACTTTGATACCATGTCGGAAGTATCCCACACTTCGCACATGGCATTTAGCCCTGCAAGCAGCAGTATTGGCGGGCATTTGCCGATATCCCTGCAATCACAGACATCTAATCTTTCAGATTCCCAAGATGGATTACCTCAGCCGTCCCGAGTGCTTGGGTCATCGCCGATGCCGCCAGGAATAGGACTTGAACCACAGATGAGCTCATCGTTGCTGCTCGAGCCCAGCACTCAAGCCGCTTTCATGAACCAATCTTACGTACAGCCGCAATTTGCACCGCCGGCTACGTCTGCACCGGTTTTTCCACAGGTGCAGCCTCCATCTATAGCATGTGCTATTTTTCTACGCCTTCACCCGTCATCATCAAGCTACATTTCCAACTCAAATCTCTGGATAGCCACACTCACTTCGCACTCCGTACAGGAACTCCGACAAGTGGCTGTAGCTAAATTCCCAGGGACGGCATGCCTCCGCGTGGAAGGCGTGCTAAAGGATGGCAAGGGCGGTGAATTACCACTTCAGATCGAACAGGATCAAGAACTAAGCGCGTACTTGGCGCACTTGCAAGGCACGGCGCCAACGTTCAATGTGCAGCTAGTGTGGGAGACATCTTGAAAATGGGTGTTCGAGAAGACAACCAGCCTCGGCTGATGATGATGCTATCTAATTTTAGCGATTTCGTTTGGCGTATACTGTTTGGCGATTCAGGTTTCGTCTTCTTTAGAATGGTGTTTGGGAGTCCAGTCCGCAACCGCGACGGGCATGGCTATTAATTTTATTGGACATATTTATATGTGTAACGAATTCAAACGAAAGAATCGAGTATCTACCTCCGTGGCTTAGACATGGTTTTGGTTCTGCATGGAATTCAGTAGATGACGGAGCCTTGCACAATACTGAGAAGGCTCAAGGTCAAAGAACAAGTATCGAGTGTAAAAGAGACCAGCCAAGGATTTTTGGCCAACCGCGTGCAGACATTGGGCAGGGCGGTCCTCGGCTTGCCCAGTACTTACTCATATGTATGTTCATCTACGTGCACGTACATTTATGCATGTGCACGCAGCGAGGGCAGTAATAGCTAGGAGAATATGCCGTCTCAAGCGGCGACAACTGCCAGCCAATTGTAGTGGTAAATCTCCCGACAGCGTACCAGACACTTGTGATGTAAATCTTGACGCTGTGGCCATGCACCTCATTCGGCAATGTCGACCCCATGACAACCCGCGGTGCGGATGGAACGTCAAGATTGGGTGCGGAACATCTTGGACATCTGAAGTGTGGGGAGCGCCACTAGCGGCCAGACAAATTTCCGGTGAGCTCCAAAGCTTTGGTGGTCGAAGTCCATTGAAATAGAACTCTCAACCACCAAGCGCTCAAAAACACTGTGTTCCCGAGGCGACAACCGTGGCCGTAGACGGAGGGCGCAGCTAGTTTCGTGGGTGTCTTAGGCATTGCGAAGACAGCGGTGCTGGAGACATTCTGCAATGGCGCAACTACGACTCCGGGCGATGCCCTCGACGACGACCCTGCGGAGCTATGCCTTTGGTAGGCTGTTGGCGGTTCACATCCCACGAGGGCTCGCTCCGCATGCTATGAGACGATGCTATTCAACAGACATTGAACCCGAAAAGCCTAAGCCTCCAAGGCAAGGGAATGAGATGAAGCTGGGGAGGTCGTTCCAGGGCCAGGTAATGGGAAGCATTGGAGCACGATTGAGACGCGAGCGAGAGCAGAGAGAGCAGTATGAACGATGGAGAAACATGAAAGACCCCTCAAGGAACTGGATGATTACCTTCTGTGAGTGGTGGCGGGATAAGTTGGAACGCGACGATGAGCCTCTGGTCTTTGGCATGGCAGATTGAACTAACCCTATCCAGTGTTCCTTTCTAGTATAGGTATCGCATATTACATGGGCACATTCTGGCCTCGCGAAGCCGAACCCACCTCGACCCTCCCGCTTTCCAAGGTCCAAGACCCCAGGCATAATACGAAGCTCGAAAACATGCAGGCCGCCTGGGCAGACTTTGTCAAGATTGTTGGCAAGGAGCATGTCAGTACTCTCGAGACGGACATCGAGCACCACGCCTCCTCCGCATGGTCTACCCACCAACCAAAGCCGGACGAGAAACCCTTTTGTGTGGTGTATCCTAGCAGCACCGAGGAGGTTTCAGAGATAATGAAGGTCTGCCACCAGCGACGCATTCCCGTTGTCGGCTACAGCGGCGGCACGAGCTTGGAGGGCCACTACACGCAGACAAGAAGGGGCATCTCCATCAACTTTGGCAGAATGAACAAGGTCCTTGCACTCCATAGGGATGACTTGGATGTGGTTGTTCAACCAGCCGTTGGATGGGAGTCATTGAATGACGATCTCGCCAAGGATAACCTTTTCTTTCCGCCTGATCCGGGCCCAGGCGCCATGATTGGCGGCATGGTTGGCACTGGATGCAGCGGTACAAATGCTTACAGATACGGCACGATGCGCGAGTGGGTGCTCAGTCTAACTGTCGTCATGGCCGATGGCACCATTATCAAGACTAGACAACGGCCGCGAAAAAGCTCCGCGGGCTACGACCTTACCAAGTTATTCATCGGATCTGAGGGCACTCTTGGTCTTATCACCGAAGCTACGCTCAAGGTCGCCGTGAAGCCGGCGTCTACCAACGTGGCTGTCTGCACTTTCCCATCCATCCACGACGCTGCTACCTGTGTCAGCAAGGTTGTTGGTGCGGGTGTTCCGATCGCTGCTGTTGAGATCCTAGACGACAACCAGATGAAGTTTATCAACTCTGCCGGTATGACGTCGCGTTCGTGGACCGAGGCTCCCACGCTGTTCTTCAAATTTTCAGGCACCCCAGCTGGCGTGAAGGAGCAAATTTCTCAAGTTCAGAGCTTGGCTAGACAGGCTGGCAGCAAGACATTTGAGTTTGCCAGAAGCCAAGAGGAGCAGGATGAGCTGTGGAGTGCCCGAAAGGAAGCCCTCTGGAGCACCATGTCTGTGATGAAAGAAGGTGACAGAGTCTGGACTGGGGATGTTGCCGTGCCTATGAGCCGGCTGCCGCAGCTGATTGAGGAGACAAAGGAGAATATCCGTAAGAGTGGTCTGACGGCCTCGATTGTCGGACACGTCGGCGATGGAAACTTCCACAGTGAGTGCGCGCCTGGTTGAAAAATTTTGCGAGTTGCCGTGCTGACTGGGACCCCAAGCAATCCTGACGTACAGCGAGCCTCAGCGAAGCAAGGCCGAGGCGGTTGTCCACAAGATGGTCAAGCGTGCCATTGAGATGGAAGGAACTGTGACTGTAAGTCTAAAAGCATGCGGTATTGCCAGTGACAGTGATGCTAATGGAATGATTTTGTTTTTCTCCGGCAGGGTGAACATGGCGTTGGGTTGGTTAAGAGAGATTACCTCCCACATGAGCTTGGCGAGTCGACAGTCGATGCTATGAGACAGGCACGTACATATAGTCCTGTATGCATATGGTATTTTTGCTAACTTTGCGTCTATAGATCAAGAAGGCGTTTGACCCCCTGTGCTTGCTGAACTGCGACAAGATTGTTCGCATGCAGAGGCCCAAAAAGGGAGAGGTTGAGGAGTGGTGAGAGGCACAAGGTTGCCCTTTGTACAAATAGTCTATGCCGTGTTTTCTTGCAAATTCGGGCGAGGGGTACTAACGCTCTTGTACCATTCCTGGACTCGACTTGAGGTGTTTGTATACAGCGTTGTTGAGTGTTGAGTGGGCATTTTACAAACAATGATGACCACGTTTGAGATATATTGGACATACATGCCGGCTGCTTAGTCAGCTCTGGAGAGATGCCCACTGCCGCCGACCTTGGTTCGCAGGGTGGATACCTAACTGCCACATGCAGTCAAGAACCTGGTGCCCCGCGTCATGCTTAGGTGCCCCTCCACTCCCCATAGCGCATCACATGGCACCTTCAGGCCATTCAGGCCGCACCAACGCCTCCAGCTCCGGCTCGTGACTTGGACCCGCGACTTGCTGATGCTCTGACTATACTCATCTCTTCGTAAACTCATCGATTTCGGACTGTCCTCACAATCACCTTTGCCTCATCTCAAAATCGACGCCGGGACTGGAGTTGCTCTGCGACGTTCCCTTTGCTGTCTGCCCTCCTTCCATCACCAACCCGATACCAATCCAATCTTGCTCCCACTGCTCGCGTAAGCTTCCTCCACGCCCCAGGGAGGCTTTGCTTCCTTGTTAAGCACACGGGATGTCGCTTTTCACGGCGCAGCTATACCCAGGCAGGGCGCTAGGCTTTCTGAGTAGGTATCCGTAAACAGATAGCACTTGCAGTTTGCCCGGTCACTAACACGACGTGTCCGCGCAATATAGTCCTTGGCGCATCGCTACATGATGTCCTGACACGCCTCAAAGCCGAGCCGCAGCGTTTCCCGAGACTCGAAGTCCTCCACTCGCCAGATAGACCCGTCACTGAACCTGTGTGCGTTGTCCTTCCGCAGAATGGACTCCGGCTGCGCTTCGATGGGCCCGAACAGCGGCTGCGACTGATTGAGGTGGTGGACTTTACAAAAATTCACATCACATTCAAGGACAGGGATTTGTTGAAGCATACGACGAATGGAACTTCAGCTCCCGGATCGCCCGTCCCAGGGGAGTCGCCGCTAGGGCCGACCTTTAGGCACATTTACCATCGGCTGCTGGGCCCGACCTATGCCGGCGAGTTTATCCCCCCATCTAGCGGGCAGGAAGACGGCACTTATGTCCTGTCCTATCCGGGAGTGGCTTTTAATTTTTCACTGGCGAAATCGGCCTACTCACCGGATAAGGATGTGGTCACGCTGTTGTCCGCTTCGTCGAGCCAGGTTGCTACTTCGATGGCCGTATTCAGTGGGACATCCTGGGCTGAGGCGCGACAGACGCTGTGGACAGAGATACTGCCTAGTGTTAAACAAACTTCTGTGCTACCAAAGACAAAAGATGTGTACCCGGACGAGGTGTCGCTGATTCGGATACATGGTGGTGGAAAGTTGGATTTGTTTCGGAAGTGGACGAATAATGCCTTTCGGATTCAGCTAGGGGAAACGACGCCTCAGGAGCTGGTGATGGAACTGGGTCCGCCGAATGCGATTTACCGGAAGAACGATCAAAAGATGGTGATTCACAAGATGCGGGCGGCGAGCAGCTCCCGTGGTCGGCCAAGTTCATCTGACATCGGCCGCCCTGATGATCTCACCGATACAGACCAATCATCCATGAATACCGGTTCAGACGATTCAGACAACGACGAAGCCATCGACGAACAAACAGCAAGCAATCCTTTGGAAGAGTGTTTCTACAACTACTTCTATCTTGGCTTTGACATCCTCCTCTCCCTACCAACCCAGCCATCAGCTGTACCCCCCGCAGACGACACCAGCGAAGACCCAGCAGAAAACCCAATCAAACATCACCACCCTGACCGTCTTGTCGCCACCAAGGTTGTCCTCCACGGCAACGTGCCTGGGTCCTACGAATTCAACCGCCACCGTCGCTGCCGCTGGGAAATAGCGTACCTTGACGATGTCACGTCCGAAACGCAGTTCAAATACGTCGAAGAAGGCATGAACTCTAAATGGGAGGGTGCATACTCGCTAGGAAAAGTGCCACAAGGACAGAGGGGAATGGTACTGAACCGTGGATGGGGCGATAGCCCGGGGAGCAGCTGCGAGTTTTTGGGAGGTTGGGAAGAGAGTGGTGCGAAGAGGGCAGAGGCAAACGGGGATTCGACGACGACATTGTATGGGTTTCCGGGTCTGGTGTTTGAGGTGTTGAGGAACGATTATGTCAATACCGTGACGATATTTTAATGTCAAGTAATCTATAGATTTTTTTTTGGGACGTCTAGGTCGTGTGGAGACGAAACTGCTGCTTTCACATGTCAAACTGAGGCATTCAACTATACTCACCACTTGGGTTACACTAGTCGGAGGAACAGTCTTCCTGACGAGGACGCTCAGCCTATCCAGCGCCTGAGTCAGACACACGGACGCTGGCGCCCTTGCAGCCATGAACAAGCTGGAGCGTGCTGGAACGAGAATCGAGAATACAAGATCTGAATGTGGCCGTCATCAGCCAGTCACGATGAGGAGGGGTGTGTTCGTTCGAGTAACAAGGGGCCGGGAAGCATCTTGACCGCAGTGTGTCTTGCGCCAGTGCGTTCGTGGCATATGACGCGTTTGCCCGAGTTGTGTAAGTAGATCATGGTTCGTTTTTGCGCATCTACACACGGGCTGGTCGTGGATAAAGCGGACAGAATTTGTTGAGGATGGGGTTTCCATTGGCCGTGAGGGGACGAATGCTGCTTCACCTCGGCGGCTGGTAGAAGGTTCATTGCAAAGACCAGTGGCTAACACATATTCCGATATACGCATGCTCCGGTGTATTTCATGTCCTTTGCTATGCTCGTATACTTGGGTCAGCCTTATTTTCTAGCTGGTCGTTCACACTCCAGGGGCTTCTTCCCGGCAAGCATAACCGGGATCTGCGATTCCTGTGCGGCGTTTAGACGCATGTCTACGTTCCTCACTGGTATGCGACGTATTGTGACCATCGTGTAGGGGAGGCGTTTCTGAAGCCAGGTGGTTGCCTCGACGTGTAGTGTCAAAGCGAGATTGTACAAGGGCTTGCAACTCTGCGCCAACTTGTCTTGCATTTCATCTTGTTCAAGGCCCAACTTGAAGAGCCCTCCAGGGGTTGGAGCCCGGCGTGATGTGATGGGAGGCATTCATTGCGTTGTCGTGAGAGGGGAAAGGAGGATGGGCAACGCGTTGAGTAGCGCCGTAGATGGTTGGTTATATGGTGTATCGTCTTGATTCTGGAGCTACGAAAACGCAAGTTTGATACCTCACTTATTCCGGATCAAGGGCGTGGCCTACGATTTTTCCTACTGGACATTGACCTTGCGTCCGATCTCGTCGAGACCGATGGATGGCCAGTTGGCACTCGTCTACATAGGTGTCAGAATTCTCGTCAGCATGCCGACACTAGGTCACAATTTCAGGCCGCAAGTATACAAGGCACCGACATCAGAGATAGTTCTAGATGCCCAGCAGCTCTCGAAAAAATGCTCATTGTTGGTGATGTGAGCAGCACTAGCGCGAAGCCATCACGGGTGTGTCTGTAGAGAAAAGCCAGCTTCTGCACAGAAACACTTTGCTACTCCCATTACAATCATGAAACGCATGCCCAGTCACAAGCTTGGAGTTGAGGCACACACTCAGCCTCGCCCGTACGGGGAGGCAATGATATCGGACACGGAGCCATAGGCTGGATGTGCAGTCCGGCTCCGGACCGTCGCGGCGTGTACCGCGGCGTGCGACAAAACAACAAAGCGACTTTCGTTTACGAAGCCAACACGTCATGCGCTGCCTAAATTCCCGTTTTTTTCGGGTGTGAATTTGAAAGCAAATCGGGATGTTCGTGAGCTCGAGCCGATGCCTTGATCATAATAAATACTGCCGCCACCCTCCTCGCTTGAACTGTAGGACGTGTGCATTTTCGATAAACCGTTCAGCTCGTTCCCTTTCTAAACTATACAAGTATTTAAACCGAAAAAAAAGGGCTGTGCAAAAGGAGCCTGCTGTAATGGCAGTTCCGCTACCGTTGTTCACGGCCGTTGCAGCCGCCGGCACACTCCTCTTCATAACGCAACAACAGGAATGGACTAGGAAACTGGCTATTGGGGCATTTGCCGTCGTTTTTGGCATCCAGATGGTCATCTACTCCATCTACAGCTTGTTCATATATCCCTTTTTCTTGTCGCCGTATCGTCACTTGCCCAAGCCCCCCGGCGGCGATTATCTCTTTGGGCACACGAGACAGATGGTAAAAGAAGGCCTGGGAACAACCGCAAGAAAATGGTGAGTACGCAGTGTCCCCATCCCGTCCATCTCTTGATGAGCCCGCGGCCATGGCCATCTAACCTGTGTCAGGATCGCGTCGATCCCCAACGACGGCTTCATCCACATTCGCTGGGCATTCAACCGCGAAATGCTTCTCGTCACGTCGCCGCAGGCGCTGTCGGAAATCCTCGTCGCCAAAAGCTACGAGTTTGCCAAACCCCAGTTCCTCCGCGACACCCTGGGCCCCGTCATCGGGCACGCCCTGGTCCTCGCCGAGGGGGACGCGCACAAGCTCCAGCGCCGCAACCTGATGCCCGCGTTTGCGTTCCGCCACATCAAGGACCTGTACCCGCTCTTCTGGCAAAAGTCGCGAGAGGTCGTACGGGTCATGACGGCCGAGTGCGATGGCCTGGGCGTCTTGAACATGGAGGCAGGGGCCTGGGCGTCGAGGTGTACGCTGGACGTCATTGGGACCGCTGGGCTGGGGAGGGACTTTGACGCCATTCACGACGACCACAACGAGTTGGTGGAGACGTATATGACGCTTTCGCATCCCTCCAAGACCGATAGGATCCTCATGATATTGGCCGACTTTGCGGGCTTGTTTGTGCCTGTGAAGCCGTTTCTCAACGTGCCGTTTCCGAGACTGCGGCAGGTCCAGCGGTCATCCAACATGATCCGCGATGTTTGCCGGGACGTCATCCAGGCCAAGAAGCAGAAGCTCGAAAAGGGCCAGCTCAACGACGTGGATATCGTGTCCATAGCTCTGAGGAGCGGTGTATTTTCGGAGGACGAGCTCGTCGACCAAATGATGACGTTCCTGGGCGCCGGGCATGAAACGACCGGGTCGGCGCTGACGTGGGCGATATATGCCCTGTGTCGGTTTCCCGACATCCAGAGCCGTCTCCGTGACGAGATCCGCGCCAACTTGCCGTCTGTCGATGAAGAGACAGACATTACCAGCGCGGACATTGACAAGCTGCCCTACCTCAACGCCGTGTGTAACGAAGTGCTGCGAATGTACAGCCCCGTGCCGCAAACCTTCCGCGACGCCGTCTGCGATACCAGCGTGCTGGACCGCCGCATCCACAAGGGCACGCGGCTCATCCTCGCGGCATGGGGCACCAATGTCGATACCGCGCTTTGGGGCGCCGACGCTGGCGAGTTCAACCCGGAACGGTGGTTATCAGTCAACGACGGGGGCGAGCACTCGGTCAAAAGGGCCTCGCTGGGCGGAGCAAGCAGCAATTATGCCCTGTTGACGTTCTTGCATGGGCCGAGGAGCTGTATTGGGCAGGCGTTTGCCAAGTCTGAGTTTGCATGCTTGCTGGCTGCGTGGGTTGGGCGGTTTAGATTTGAGTTGAAGGACTCGAGGTTGATGGATGAGGAAAACATGGTGTTTGAGCAGTTGGTCACGGTGAAGGCTGTGGAGGGGTTGTATGTGAAAGCTACGGTTGTGCCGGGGTATTGAAGGAACTGTATTTATTGTGATTAGCTGATGATGTTAATTTGCTTGCTGCGTTTTGTATGTATCCGAATTTGGCTCGTGGTGTCTGTCGTTGAAGGTCGATTCTAACGTACCTAGTACTCAACACACGCATGTCGAAAGAAGACAAAAAAAGAGGATCAGGGGCTTCTGCAGCCAGACCGCCAAGGAAATGCATGAACTTGTGGTCCGATGAAAATCTGGGCTTGCCGTCTGCATTGCGTGTTGCCCAGTGGCTTGAAGGCTTCGCCTTTTCGCTTTTGTCAGCATTTCCCGTCGGCCCATGATGCCAAGAGGCATAGACTCCAAGCACCCAGATCCTGGTTAATAGAATCTTCATTAATACATGCAAAGACTCAGTACGTAGTACTAGTCAGTCTCACACACGCCTCGCCTTGGTGCATTTGAGGCTCTGGTGATGTATTGTACGTATCACATTGTACATCTCTCCACAGAGTTCACGATGGGCTCAAAATCCACCGTCGCCCCCATGGTGATCGGATCAAATCATTGATACTTTGATAATAGTGGGCGTTTGCAGGCAATATTTGTACTGATCAGCGCTGATTATCCATTGGCGCGAATCTTTATAGCCTCGACCCAGGCAAGGGGACCCAAGACACAACACCCGTGGCCTTGTACGAGTCTGTGTCACTTTTTTTTTGTTCAATGCGGAACGTCCAGGTGCATAATCTCTTTAGCGGGCGTCGGCACATCCCACATGGCAAATGGGCCCTCAGCCGCAATCATTCTTCAAGGCGACGATCCCTTGGTGGCCAGGAGTCCAGGACACGACAAGAGCCCGAATGCCGAAGCTCGCGTTACTCCGAGCAAAATCCGATGGCAAAAGAAACAACATTTTAAATATACGCGACAGCTGCTGCAAGGCGCGTAAGCACTTGACGTTTTGGACAGACTGAAATTCATCCATTTGCATAGATGGGTACGGAGTACGGAGTCGTCGTACGGAGTATTTCCTTGCGACTTGAGGGTTGGTGGGGACTGCGGATTGGAGCCTGGAAGACGGAGATGTAGGAATGAGCACAGAGAATTATTAGAGTAGAACGGTGGTATAGTTGGTTATTTATCGGGTAGGGCTGGAGATGACATGGTGGTCCCTGATTGATGGTTTGATGGGCGTCTGGCGTGATGTCCGGTATACATGATGACACCCACGATTTCTGATGCTGTTAATACCAGACTGTCGAGAAATCTTCTTCTGTATGCAGATGGATATACAATATTGTAATATCAGGCCCATGGACACCTCAGTGCCCTTGAAATCGCACACTGCTTAGTTGCACGCCGCCCCGTATAATTACATAGCAAGCAAGTAGCTCTTGCAGATGAAACTGTCAATTGATCAGGCAGGTGGGCAACATTAGGGAACCCCACCTTTTACGGTCCAGTGCTTGTCATCCCTCCCTTCATCTTACGGTGCCAACGATGCAAGTATGTACTGTTCCGTATATTGTACTCCGTAGACCGTAATGCTTTGCCGGCTGACGATGAGTCTCTGCCAGGTCTCACCTTGACGACAGTCTCCGCCTTAAGCCCGTGCCATTGTATGAACTTTCGTTGCGCCGAGATGCAGCCATCATTGAACGCTTACTAATGGCGCGCACTGTGGCCTGTCCACGAACTGGCCGCGACACATTGGGTCTGATGGATCCAGCCAAGTGGAACATTGAAACCAGTCGGCCCCTCAAGCCCAATTGGTAGGCACCTCGAACCAGACGGACGAAAGGCCTGCGCGCGCCCGCGCCGTCCAGCCGCCAGTCATCAATGGCATTGGATTGGCCGGACGAGGCCCCAACTTTCAAATGTCAATTAGGCACTGGGCCATCGTGTCGCCTGGTAACCACTCAGGCATGCGCTGGAGTGCTCGCCGCTAGTCATGGTTTTATGTGCCGGTTGATGCAATGCTCGTACATCCGAGACGGCACGGCTATTGCTGCCATCCCAGAGCATCTCGAAATATAAAACCAAACGCCTCAGACATTCCCGTTCTTCCATGACGTCGTCGTATTCGTCCCGTGTCCGTTCCGTTTTCATCCCGTCATTGATCCTACTTGTGTAAGTACAGGACATCCTTGTCGAGTCAATATCTAGTACTTAGGTACGTACAGCAAAAGGTCTGGCGCCTTCCATGTTCACCGGCTTGTTCCCGCTAGTTTCCGCCTCCCCTCTGTAGTTACTACATACTTTACTTTATGTAGTCATCCATTTGCCCATTCCAAGTCAAAGAGACCATGCCTTTTTCTCATCCACCCCAGCTCCCCGACCTGTCTCTTACGATTGCTGACTTGCTGTCGGTTCATAGAAGTCCACATCTGGTGTCTTGTTGCCGTATAGTTGAAGTCGCAGCTTGCAACTGCGTCGATCTGTACCACACGACGCAACGTAAAGGGGAGGGCTGAGACAAAACCGGTTCTCAGCGCCGCCAGTTCAAGACACCACGGGCTGAAAAGGGGAATTTAAGACCGCATCGCCCGGCATGGCGTCTCATTCATCGACGCCCACCACGACAGATACGTGGACCGGTTCTGGGAAGACCGGCGACGTCGAGCGAGACGGCGACATCCATGGCTCCAAAACTCATCGCTTCATTGAGAAGCACTCACAGGCGCCTCACACGCCATCCGAACCCCCAAGTCCAACTTCAGACACCGGCCCATCAGGAAATGAAGCACTGGCAGAACCAGAAGCCGGGCGCACCAATGTCGAGACCTTCCTCGTTGTCCTGGCTCTGTGTCTGGCGCTCTTCCTCGCCGCCCTCGACATGACCATCATCACCACCGCCATCCCGACGATATCGAGCACCTTCAACTCCAGCCTGGGCTACATCTGGATCGGCTCCGCCTACCTCCTCGGCAATGCCACCTTTGTGCCGACATGGGGCAAGATTTCAGACATTTTCGGCCGGAAACCCGTCCTCATTGGTGCCGTCGTCATCTTCTGGATCGGCTCGCTCCTGTGCGCCGTGAGCAATAGCATGGGCATGCTGATTGCCGCGCGAGCTATTCAGGGCATCGGTGGCGGCGGGACCATTGTGCTGCCCAACATTTGCATCTCAGACTTATTCTCTATGCGCAAGCGTGGCATGTACTTTGGCATTCTCGGCGGTGTATGGGCCATTGCATCTGCCGTTGGCCCTGTACTCGGAGGTGTCTTCACGAGCAAAGTGTCGTGGAGGTGGTGCTTCTACATCAACCTGCCCCTGTCGGGCGTCGGCATCCTCATTTTGATCTTTGTGCTGAAGCTGCATAACCCGAGGACGCCCGTGAAGCAGGGCTTGCTGGCGATTGACTGGGCCGGAAGCTTGCTGATCATCGGCGGCACTCTCATGTTCCTCTTTGGCCTGGAGTTTGGCGGTGTCCAGCACCCCTGGGACTCGCCCACCGTCATCTGTCTGATTGTTTTTGGCGTCATCACCATTGGCCTTTTCGTCGTCTACGAATCCATGTTTGCCAAATACCCCATCATGCCGATCTCGCTGTTCCGCCATCGAACCAGCGTCGCCTCCTTCTCGCTCTCCTTCATGCACGCCTTCACCTTCATGGGCGGGAGTTACTGGCTGCCTCTGTACTTCCAGGCCGTCATGGGCGCGACGTCCCTTCTCTCGGGCATCTACTTGCTCCCCTTTGTGCTGTCGCTCTCCATCACCTCTGCGAGCTTTGGCATCATCATTAAGCGCACAGGTAACTACAAGATCCCAATCATGTTTGGCCTCGCCGTCATGACGCTCGGTTTCGGCCTCCTCGTCAGCCTGGGCGACGACCGAAACTGGGCCAAGATCGTCATCTTCCAAATCATTGCCGGCATCGGTGTCGGCCCCAATTTCCAGTCCCCCCTCATCGCCCTGCAGACCAACGTTGAGCCGCGCGACATTGGGTCAGCAACAGCTAGTTTCGGCTTCCTCCGCCAGCTGGGCACCTCCATCTCGGTCGTCGCCGGCGGCGTCATTTTCAATAACCAGATGAAAGCTCAGGCTGGAACCTTGCAGCGTGAGCTTGGCCCGCAGCTGGCCAGCATGTTTAGTGGTTCTCGTGCCGCCGCCAGTGTGCACCTTGTCAGAACTTTACAGGGCCATGATGCTGCGGTGGTGAAGAACGCCTACTGGAATTCGCTGCAGAAGATGTATATTCTGTTTACGTGCACTGCCTTTGTGGGCTTTTTGATGAGTTTTGCTGTGAAGCAGAAGAGTTTGAGCAAGGACCACACCGAGCACAAAACTGGGTTGCAGTCTTTGAAGCAGAGGAACGACGGCAGTGCTGCTGAGCCCGCAGGTAAAGAAGCCTCTTGAGAAACGAGGACCAAAAAGGGCATTTTGAGCGTTTCAACATACGATGCGTGATTTACTGTCATGGGCGGCGTTTGGTGTTGGGAAATGCATTGGGTGCGTGAGCATATACTTTACCTGTACATACATGTAGATATTCAAATGTGGGCGCAAAATCATTGCACAGCTTGCTCTCTCGAAAAGGGGTCATGCCCCTTGTTGATTGATCTGAAAGTCATGAATGCTGCATGTTTGTAGGGGAAAGTTGATGTGCGACCAAAAAGAGCCCTGCATGGCACAGGACCCTGGTATAATGAATGCTTCGTTTTTTTGTTGCACATTTGGTCTAGCGGTTACAGAGTACCAATAAAGTTTAGATATCATAAACTGTTACGAAAAGTGGAAGAACTTTAAGATAGTAAATGTTGCCATCTCTTGCATCCATTGCAAGAAGCTATCCAGCTTTGAACTCTCTTTTTTCCCTCAAATCGACGTCTCATGTTGCGGGGGACGTGAGCACACTCATCACTTCCAACCTGGATAATTGAAAATTCAACGGCACTACTATACTGCCGTCAGGGGGTTTTTTTTTTGGCCTCTTACGAAAGCATACAGTCGGCTGTATTGGCCAAACTGTTGCGTCATTCGGTCGGACTAGACGAGTTAGACGACCTAGGCGAGGTAGACGAGATGAGGCCACTGCAACGGTGGCGGTTGTCAGGGCAACAGCTGGTGTTGATGCAGAGCTCCTTCCTTAGTGCGGAGCTATTTACTTTGTGCTCACTTCCTGGGAACGTCGACATGGGCACCCCCTCCCGCGCAAGGATTGTGCACGACTCCATTCCACACCGATTTTTGCCATCTTTGGGCTTCTGAGTAACTCTACGTCCAGCGGTGATGGTTTTGTCCGTCATTGCATTTGATATCGTATATATTTTTTGTTTTTCGCACCTGCCACACGTCCTCCCGATCCTCACCGCAACGACCGCGTCGTCCACGCGGATATCCTGGCCAAGCTGGCTTCTCGACGAACTACGCGCTCCGACCGGGAGCTAAACCGGTCAACAATGGGCGCCAGTCTTCGCACTGCCGCTGGGAGCCGGAATGGTATCCCAAGACAGCCCGCTGGGAGGTCATCGACATTGAGGCAGCCGTCGTCCTTGAGCGCGGTCAGAGGGATCCCAGACCGCGCTGGCGCAGCGTCCCCAGCAGATTCTGTATCGACCACTGCAACAGGCGTGAAGCGCAAGGAGCGCGATTTCGAGTCTGATGCCGGCGGCGGCGGCGGCGGTAGCGAAGAGACAAATATTAATGTTGTTGTGAGGTGTAGAGGACGGAGTGAACGCGAAGTCAAAGAGAACAGCACCGTGGTCGTGCAGGCGGACGGCGTCAAAGGAAGCGCTGTCGGGCTATTGCTGGGCCCGAATTCTCTGAGCAACAAGTCATATGCTTTCGATCGTGTTTATTCGGCCGCGGCAGACCAGGTCATGGTATTTGACGATACGGTCAGACCGATATTGGACGAGGTGTGTGGCTCAACTTGCACACGAATTGACTGCCTCTTGTTAACCAATTTTGCAGATGCTTGCTGGATACAACTGCACAATCTTTGCGTACGGCCAGACCGGCACGGGGAAAACATACACCATGTCGGGGGATATGACCGAGACGCTAGGCATACTCTCGGATCAAGCGGGCATCATTCCTCGTGTGTTGCATGAGTTATTCAATCAGCTCAAGGTTGATGATAGGGAGCATTGTGTGAAATGTTCCTTCATCGAGCTCTATAACGAAGAACTCCGCGATCTCCTATCTATTGAAGAAAGCGCAAAGTTAAAAATTTACGACGACGCGTCAAGAAAAGGGCATGCCTCTACGATCGTTCAAGGCATGGAGGAGAAGCATATTAAGAATGCTTCCGAAGGTATTAAGGTGCTTCAAGATGGCAGCTTGAAACGTCAGGTAGCAGCCACCAAGTGCAACGATCTCAGCTCTCGAAGTCATACTGTCTTTACTATCACCGCCTACGTTAAGAAGACAAATAACCAAGGTGTAGATGACTTCGTTAGTGCAGGGAAGCTTAACCTAGTCGACCTGGCTGGAAGCGAAAATATTCAACGATCTGGAGCGGAGAATAAGCGAGCTGCTGAGGCTGGTCTTATCAATAAATCGCTGCTAACTCTCGGCCGTGTTATTAACGCGCTGGTGGACCGAAATTCGCACATTCCCTACAGAGAATCTAAATTGACGCGCTTGCTGCAAGACTCACTCGGCGGGCGAACCAAAACTTGCATTATTGCCACCATCTCTCCAGCCAAGGCGAATCTTGAGGAGACGATTTCCACTCTGGACTATGCGTTTCGCGCCAAGAATATCAAGAATAAGCCTCAAGTGAACCCGATGCTTAACAAAAGGATGCTCTTAAACGAATTTGCTAATGAAATCGAGAAATTAAAGAGTGAGCTAATCTCAACGAGACAGCGCAATGGGGTGTATTTATCGAACGATGCGTACGAAGATTTGACTGCTCAAAATGAGTCTCGCCGCATTGTGCTGGAGGAGCAGAGTGCAAAGATTGAGACCCTGGAGACCAACTTGAGGAACAAAGTCCACGAGCTCTTTTCTATAGCCACGTCACTTATGGGATTAAGAAAGGATCACGATGGAATCAAAGCCCAGCTGGACAACACAAAGGGGGTTCTTGATCAGACGGAGATAGTGCTGTCCGCGACGCGCAGATCACTTGCAGAGGAGACACAGCTAAGAAAAGCACACGAGAAGACGGAGGAGAAGCTTACGGAAATCGGGGGGCAACTCATTAGCAACCTTCATAAAACGGTGAATGATGTTACTGGTCTCAGGGCAAAAAACAAACGAAAGTCAGACCTACAATCACTGAATCGAGCAGCTTGGAGCACATCACAATCGCAAGTCGCGGATGTCACGTCCATGGTTGAACGGCGAGTACTCGAATTTCAAGAGGAACAAGAAGAGCATATCTCTAGTGTATCAAAACGAATGACCGCATTCGTGGATGAAGAACTGCGAAAGCTTTCAACCACGCAGACATTGTTGGATGAGCATCTATACCTGTTTACTGATTCAAAGAAGCTGCTGCTGGAAAAGCAGCAAAAGTCAAAGGGGGATATGGACGAAGTTTTGGATGAGATCAAAGTGGTTCGAGATACAGTTAAAGAGAAGGTTGGGGAGAGGCTTCAGGTCATGTCACAGGCCGCTGAAAAACTATCAGGAGATGTTTTGCAAGAGATGACAAACTTTCACACTCAAGTAAGTTGCTTCTTGAAGGACCCTTGTCGGAGTTCACTTTACTCACCAGCACTTGCAGCTCCATAACTCGTACAGTTCGCTTGGAAAGGACTTCAAATCCATATTTGAAGATCTCGTCAAACATATTACAGCACAGCGTAGTGAGGCCGACAGCTTACGGCGGCAGCTGCAAAGTGCCATGAATACAATTGCTTTACAAAATACCAGCCTTTCTAGGCGAGTCCAGGAAGCGCTAGACGAAGAGCGACGACAAACTGCCGAGGACCGCCAGAAGTTGATGATCCAGATTACCAGCTTGGTCAATTCCCAAGCTGATGCACAAGAGGCTCGCCTTGCCGATAGGGCAACTTTTATTCAGACAAGTGTTGCCGAATCTAATGCTTCTATGGAAGATGCGATGGCGCAATATACCCAAGGAATGGAGAGCTGGGATGGCAAGGAAAATGAGTTGATGGAAGAGGTCAAGAAGTCTCGCGAACAGTTAAAGATCAAGTTGAAGGACGACTGGACTTTAGCGAGCGACCAAAGCACGGCTATCCAAAACACGGCCAAGTCTATTCATGCCGAAACAGCGAGAGTTGCGGAAGACCAAACAGACGACTTTGATACACAAATGGAGGCACTGGACGACTTTGTCAACCGAGCTAAGACGGAAAGCGCTAGCCATCACGAATCTCATGGCCAGTCTTTACAGGCGCTGTCTAATACGGTGGAACAGTCGTTTGGTAACATCTCGGCGCACTTCAAGACAACGTTTGAAAGAGTCAAGAATCTTGGTGAAGGCATGGAGCTGGACACAAATGATTTGCGTGACGGCCTTGAACCGCTCGAGTCGCAAGTTTGCCAGCCGCTTGTCAACCTGCGTGAGGGCATCACATCTACCACCCTGCAAGAATACCAGCCCACGGGTGACACGCCTCAGAAAGCGACGTACCTTTTCCCTACGAAACTTCCTCGCACGGAACCTCACGATATCATCATTTCTAAGGTTGACGAGGAGCAGTCTTCACTCACGGGCGATGAGGTCAACGACAAGGACGACACTTCCATCATGTTTTCAGACATTGGGCACAAAAGCTCCCCCATCACGGCAACAAGGCAGTCCAACGTCGGCTTGTCGGACAAGAACATGAGTTTGCGCGAGGTCAATCCTAATGTGACGGCCAATCTAACCACCGGTGCACTCGCGTTTGATCCGAGAGCAAGCACAATGAGCATGCCTCCTGAACACACGATGCCTAGCTTTAAGAAACCACTTAAGGGAGTAAGAAGTGTTAGAAACCAGCCCGTACTGGCGGAAGGCAGGGAGAATCTCTTGGTGGGATTTGAGCAGAGTCTTTCTAGGAGGAAGAGTCCGAGGCTGAATTAGGAGTGACGCGCACTGGCGGCGCAAATTTCTGGACGGTGGTTTGTTTAGGGAGTTTGGGTAGACTGTGCTGGTTTGGGCGGTTCATTCATTCATTCATTCATTTACTTTATTTCTGGCGTGGCTTGGACACCTGGGTTATTGAGCATTTAGATACCCGTTTCTTTACATGGTGAGCATGAAATTGATTTTGATTTCTTGAGTACGACATTCGTGCTGAGGGCGGTGCATATTACCGGTCTACGTGGGAAGTTGTTTGCGCCAGAAATGTCACGATACCCGTCGGCGACTAAGTGGACGAGCCACTTTCCACTTCGTTGCCAACGGGTCATGCTATTATTCTAAATGCTAATCACAGTGAATAACCGTTGCTTTTAGCCATTGAGGCTAGCTGAGTACAGTACTACGTCAATGTTGACCGCTCGCATCGACTCGGTTGATGCGCCGTAATTCTCATGAACTACCCGGTTGCGAGACACATCTACATTCTGGAAATGTGCATCACATGAATATAGCAGGGACGCAACACGCAGTAGCTTATAGTATTTTATATTGACGCCAGACCTAACACAGCCTGCCATCATCCAGTCGCTCACAAGTCCTCCCAATCCCCATGGACCGATACGCCTTGAAGAAAAAGTATATATATATAAAGCCAGAGTAAAACAGAACGCTCATGTTAACCATGTTTGACAAAAAAACAGGCCGTTTAGGGATTCTCGTTTCGACATGTAAAGATCCCTCTTTTCACCAGTTCCCAACTCGATGAGAAAAAGAAGAAAAAGACCAAAACAGGTGCTCCCAAGTTTATCCGTCCCTAGCCCTCTGTGGATGCAAAATCGTGAGGATGTGCCTAATTGAAAATAATACCGGGAACCATATAGTTTCGCCTGCCCTCCCAAGGAGGTTTCCGTTCCCAACGCCATGCAAAAACTGAAATGAAAGATTTTTTCCTTCTTGGGGATTTGGATTTTTTTCTCTCAAGATTGAGAGGTGGTTGGTAATGAGTTCTGTGCTCCTAATTGCTGTTTGGATGAGACTATAGTTGAGGGTTATGAAAAGGATGCCTGTGTCCCAAGTGGTTTCTTGTCTGTTCGTTGAGAGGTTCGAGGCAGAACAAGTGTCGATCCAGGGCGTGTTGGTAAGAATCTCGTATAGCTTATGAATGTGTTGTCCGGTAGCTTGTACCAACACGTGTAATGATGATATTCACGGTGAAAACGTATGATTTGCCAGAGAAAAGTGAAAGTCGGCCTTTGCGACAATCATGCCCAAGTCCAAATTTGGGGTCATTGGCTCGGCCGTTCTGCTCATGGCTCTCTCCTAGCGTCTGCCGATCTTGAGCAGACGAGTCCGAAGCCACAACACAAAGGCGGTCCAGACGCCCATGGTCTTGTGCTTGGCGGTTTTGGTTCTTTTTGGCGACGTGAAATGTACCTCGTCGGCCCTAGAGGGAGCCGTTTGCCCACCGTGCGTGCTGTTGTAGCCAAAAGAGGAAAACTCTATCTTCTCGCGGCTGTCTTCCGACATTGCGCCGCGCTTTCTTGAGGAGGAGATTCGGAGGTCGGTGCCGCTAGACATGGTGCTGCTCGAGACGCTGCCGTGACCCGCGCTGCCTTTGCGAAGCCGAGTATGTGACTTTTCAAGCTTGTGTGCCTCTTTGGTTTCGGCACGTTCTCGTTTACGAAGCTGCTCCTTGGCATACTTCTCATCTTTGGCGCGCTCCTTGGCCTCGAACTTGCGGCGGGCTTCACGGACCTGCTCCTGGTGAGTGAAGGTGTCCACCTCGCTTCGGGAGCGCAGACGGAACACGCCCATGTCCAGCGAGCTGCGCAGCGGCGACAGGGGCGCAGCCGAGGTTGAAGTTGCACTGGCCTGGGTCTGTGTGGAAGACAGCATTGTGCCGGCAGTTGCCAATGGAGCGGTTGATGAGAGAGGGGAGTCGACGGCCAGGGAAGACAAAGCGCTGGAATCCAGTTCCGACCTGCTCTGATTCAGAGACGGGGGCGCCAGCGGGCGAGTCGTGCCCGAGTTGGATCGAGGAGCAGGTAGCCGCGTTGTCTGGGTTCCATCCGAAAGCGAGCTGGTACGCTGGCTGGCCATGGAAGGGCGGCGATGGTTAGGATGCTGGTAAAAGGCGGACTGGTACAGCGCCGGGCGAGGAGCGGTGGAAGCAGAGTGGAAGGACGAGTACGGATCGACGTCGGCGTCGTCCTCGGTGATGGTGGGAGAGTAACCGGTTGGCACGCCGTTCTCGAAGGAGGTCCTCGAGTTGGCATAGGACAGTGGAGGCGTCGAGGCATGCGGCTGCTGCTGGAAGGGGTGGACGAAGGTGCCGCCATTACGGCCGCTGGTGGTAGTTGCAATGGACGAGGTGTGCGAGTTGCCGCTTGTTGATCGAACATGGGAGTACTTGGAGCGCGGTGCCACGCCCAGGCCGGAGCCCGTCATGTCGGATGCGGACAAGGAGAAGCTCACATCGCGGGCGGATCTGGCACCGTGACTGTTTGGAATCGAGTACTGGTAGGATCCGTCGCTGTCGTAGGTGCCAAAGTCAGGGCCGACGGCAAGGCCCGGCGAGGGCTGGTCGTCCCAGCCACGGTCGAGGTCGAGCGACTCACGCTCCGAGTGGTGAGAGTGCAGCTTCTTGAGGATGGGCTTGACCACAGTGCGACTCCGCGACTTGGAGATCTTGCCGCCGGGGTGGGTAAAGCTGCCCGGATGAACCTGCGTGGAGGCCATGGTGCCGGCGGGCAATCGAATGATGGGACGAGGTGAGGCGAGCGGCCCTGAGGGGGGGAGGGCCGGCTTATAATGAATCCTGGCGCGGATTGTTGTTGTCTTCGCAGCCGTGGCCGCTGACGCTTGCCTGTTGTTTTGGTACGTGTTCGGCCAGGCCTCGCATACGGGGCACCAAGTACCGAGTATCGAGTACCGAGTACAGAACACACGGCGTGCGGACTACACCAGTTGACTTCATCCAACTCTGACGGCGCAGCCACTCACGCCATGCCTCCTTCGCTCCTCGCTGCTCACTGATCAGTCTGCAGTCCCTCGACTTGTTGTTTAGAGTGGTACAACGGCGTCGATAAACAAGACACAAAGCATTGGCCCCTTGGGTCGCAAACAATGCACGATGCGGTTGATGGGACGGCCGACGTCACACACACTGGGCGAGGACAGGTCGACGACGTCAGGACAAGGACCGAGGATGAGAACCAGGACGACGGCGAGATCTTAAAGCAACACCAGCACACGACGGCTAGCCCGGATGGAGAGGCAGACGAAGCACTAATAAGGACTGGAGGCCACAACAAACCGACGAGACTGGGACGCCACCGAGTCCCCCCAGGTTCCCGCGGCCCAGCTGCGCCGTGGTTGAGCATGGGGGCCTCCGGACAAGGACAGGGGATGGAAATTGAAGGGAACTAATGCTGGAACTGGGCGCACGCTCAGCGCCATCGCCGCCACGACTCCGGACATGCGCCGCACAGAGGGTAGCTGGCCACACACATCAAGCACATATGAGGAACGGGAGCAAGGCGAGCTCACCCGCAGCAACGCACCCTGGCCGCTTACGACGGCTTGTGCGGCGAAGCGGGTGTTTGGTGAACAACAGATTGGACAGCACCATGGACTGCCAAGACGAGGATAGCATTCATGACCGGGTTCAGCCTCAGAGGACGCGACCACGGCACGTGGACGACGACGACGACGACGGCTATCAGTCAAATCTGTACGGGAGCAAGTCGAATGGGCGTCTTTGGTCCAAGAGGTGGGCAATGTCTTATCCCTCTCCTGTTTTCAGAAGTACGGAGTCGGTATTCCTCGCATCAGCCTAGCAAATGTACTCCGTCGCTGATCCCACGGTCTAATTAGACACGCAGATACTCCGTATTTTTGGATGGAATCTTCAATAACACATCAAGTGGAGAGACAGCGAAACCAGGCTTCAGGTCAAAAGAAAAAATCTGCCCTGGACAAGCATGAGGATCGCGTCTTCTCACGAGTTATTACTATTGCAGCGGCAAATATATCTCAAAATGAAGCCCAAATCTCAGGATTGATGTCACTATGGAGCAGTGAGCCATTGATTCGTCGCCCGGGCTCGCCGTTGCAGGTTCTAGAGGCTTGGCCCTCATCTTGGTTCTGTCTCCTAGTACGCCTCGAGCCACAAATGATGCCTTCTGTGGAGCAGCAAAAGCGTCCCATGAACCTGCGATGGCCTGGCAGATGGGTCCGTCTCATTTGACTTTTGGCTTGAAGCGTAATTGCTCCTGCGTACCGAGCTACGCCGTATGGATGTAGACCTCATCTCGCGACACGCATTGGATTCCGTAGCTTCTGCTGCTTCCGTAATAGTCGGAATTGGACAGTGCAAGACGGAGAGGACGCAATGGGGGGTACGGAGCAATATGCCCCTTGTTCCCTTGGAGTCGTCTTCCGCCGCCTGCATTACGGAGGGAATTTGCGCTATTCTGTCACAAGACAAACCCGCATACGGAGTGCACAGGGTACCAAGTCAGTAAAGGAGTCACTGGAAAGAGACGCAGGCACACGCGTTGCGTCGGACGTCTCGTCCACAGAGTCAACACATCTCAACTCGTTCATGTACTCCGTGCTTCCAGACTACGATGATGAGTTGACCAGGCTCGGGGCGGCGTACATACATGCATACGGAGTACGGGGTATGGCAACAATGCAGGGATGCGATTCTGCTCACCGTTTCGTTTTTCTCTTGTTGCGTTTCGACCCCCTCCCCGTCGCCCCGGCCACCGGGCCCGATCTCTTGACAACTAGGCATCAGAATTGGTGCTAAGACTCGGTCTGGTTAGTTGGCATCCAGAGTTGTGGAATATGCGGCCAAATCCGCACGGCGGTAGTGTACGATATAGTTCTCTTGGACCATCTATTCGTCATGGTGAGCTTGTTGTCCCGCAGACGGAAAACATAAACAGTGGTAGCCTGGTGAGGACGAAGGCATGAAAACGCTTCCGGCTGCTGCGTTCCTCAGCAACTGCAGATTGTGGCGTTTGAGGAACCAGGAAATGGATGGTGACACCAGGCTCGGCAGCGGCAGTTTCTGATGCAGCGGTCTGGAGTCCCCGTCCTGTGCAGCAAGACATCAGTCTCAACAGTCTGTTTTGTCGAGGTTTTGGAGCCTTCAGATGGCGTCCCAACCAAATTGGACTTGTTACGAAGAATGAAGGGATCTCCTGGCACCGAGAGTCGTTTGTTCCACTGCTCTTGTTTGACTCTTGCCCGCCCCTGCCGTGCTTCTCTCCACATTGTTGCATCTTGAACATCTTCAATACAAGACTCTCGTGGCATCGGCTTTGTGGGCGCGCAAGACGTCAACTCCGTACAAAGAACCTATCCCAAAGATGAAATATTTGGTCCTTGTCCACCAGCAATGGCCGCCTTGATTGTCTTTGAAACTACACAGTATCCATCCGCTGAGCCGCGGTTTGCATTTCTTGCCGCCTGCGTGGGCAGTTTGCCATGTAAGTGTCACGTCCTACAAATGGCGCATGTCATTTTGTTGGATATATTTACTATTCCCTTGGCAGATACGCTCCACAGCTACAACTCCACAGATAAGGCATGGCAGAGCGCCTCATTTCTACGCAGAGGGCTGATATTGAGCGGCAATGCGAGCAATCGCATGATGCACCTGAACTGAAGCACAACCCGCGCTACTGCGCATTTGATCCCGAGATAGCAAGGCATGCCCGCGGCTACGGCCATGGCGAGAAAGGAAAGCCCATCTATCCGTGGGTCTACAAAAGGGCGCAGGCGTTTTGATGTTGTTCATTTTGTTGCTCATGCAACGGATACTGGTGACAAGCTGTCAGGCTCTGACTTTCAATATCTATCCATTTGGATCTGCAAAAATTATGCAGACTTGGTGTGACTTCAAAAGTTCAGACATTATCAGGCTTACTGAAAGAATGAACCAAGACAAGATTTCCGGCTGATGTCCTTCCCAATCTGGGGGAATACCAAGAAGTACTTCTCCGCATGTACGTACGCATGACTAGTTTATTCATCCACTCACAGTTGAATGATGAGGGGCGATAGAGAGGCTCGGCGTAAATAGGTCCTGCTGAGCCAACATCTCCTCCATCCCTCGGTGGATGATTTGCTATTTATGGCCGACTGCGAGCGACTACGTAACTAGCCTCGTCACTATCGCATCTATGAACATCAGACAACATGTTTCCCTTGCCAGCCGTTGCGTCGCGGGACGGGCCAAAACAAAAAAGGGCTGAGACACCGCCGGCAGTCAGCGCATCCCCATACAACACGTCTCGTCCATGGCAATGTCAGCATGGCTCTGGCGATAGCATGAGCAAGACAGTCTGCGAAGCCTTTGTTTGCGGGCTGCCCATTCGACATCGCGTGGCTCGCCTTGCACAGCATTGCAAATGCCTCATCCGAGTCCAACGTGGTGGCGAACAACCAACACATTCAGCCCGCCGCGCCTCATTCGGTGTTTTCCTGAGTCGCCGACTTGCAGACCACCCCCAGCATGGTCCTTACCCCTCCTTTGCGCAAGGCGCCGCTTGGCTACGCCATGTTCCTTTGTGGTTTTCGTCGCGCCGTCAGTGCGACTGGCGTGGCCGACGCCGGGAACAAAGAGGGCCGACGGAAACGACGGGCCCGGTTGGAGACCAAAGGTCGCTCCAGCTGAAAAGTGTGAGGCCGTTGTATCTTATATGTAAGTCGGAACTGGTGCGTTTCAGAGCATGTAAGTTACTCCCCTACTTTTTTTGGGAGGTGTCAAGGTGATATTGGGCTGAGCTGGAGGCAGCTGAAGGGCGCGGTTCCGGACACTCGGTACGGCCAATCCAGTAGAAGAGAGGTGCGGTTGAAATCTGGTATTGATTGCCTTGGTTCTAGTGACGGGTAAATTTATCGTGCCCCGAGTGTTTTATAGTTAGACTTGATGTGTTGGGCACGTCCCGCCGGCGTACAAATCGCAAAGCACACGTCGAGACTTGCAACCAAGTCCATGGCGCGAAATAAGCACCATTGTCGCCCGGCATACTACACATGTCGTAAATTCGGATATCAAGTCCCCGGGGACGAGGCAGCACTTTGCAATACGCCCGCCCGCCCTCCCAGAATAGCGCCTTGCGCGTGGCGCAGTTTGGCGATGATCTGGATGCAGCCTTGTTCTGATACATGGTTGCGGGCCACGGCTCCTTGGCCACCTACCATCAGTCGATTTTGAAGAATACTTTTCTTTTCCCTCATCTTTGCCGGTTGTCAGTACTGTTGTGGAAGTTGCAACTCTGTAGTAGAGTTGCTGTAAGAGACGTACATGTCTGCATCTTTGGGCCTACATAGCGGGCGGGCAAGGCCCTTGTTCCTCAACAGGTGTTTAATGAGAAGACGCAACTGGTCTCGAACCAGCATCGGGTGAATATACACATTGTGGCCTGTGTGCTTTTATGATGCGCGGCACTGGGCTACGTGGCTGGATTCGGTGTTGCGGCTCTTGTTAAAGACACTTTGGCGGGATATATGGACATCAGAACCGCATAATTGGCCTTAATTATTGCGACTATGCGAATGTCGAGTTGGGATGCTTGGACTTTGTTTGGCTGAAGAGTTTGATGGATTTACTGCTCTAGGGTATTTGACTTTCGCGGGCTATATACCGTTGAAAGATCTGTAAACACCACTCGTGGATGGGAATCATGACTCTGAACAGCAAGATGTTCATATCAGTCATT